ATTAAACATGACTCATAGCAACCCTATGAACAAAAGGCCTGAAGCCCCTCTACAACTATTAACATTTATCAAAGTTCGTAGAGTTTCCAGAGGCATGTTATTTAGGAACTAGATGCCACTTCTGGCTTCTAAACTAGGACCATATCCCAAGGAAATTAGACCCTAGAAACAAAAGGAGATTTGTGCACCAATATTCATATCTGCATTATTCACTATTGCAAGAACATGGAAAGAGCCCAAACGTCAACCATAATTGAATGGATTAAAAATATAGTGGCACATTGACATGAATGGAATACTACGCAGCACTCAGGAGTAATGATTTAAAAAAATACTACATAACTTGAGAGGTACTGGCGAGCATTATGCTGAGTGAACTAACTCAGTCTCATAAAGACAAATATTGCATTAAACTATTACTGTAAAAATAGAAGAAATAGTAAAATATGGATGGGGACTCAAGGGGCAAAAGGGTGGGACCAGAGGGGTGAAGTTGGGTAGGCATGAAATCACAGGGTTGGACAATTTGGCAGATGGAGGGAGGGGGTAAAAGAAATGGGAAAGATCTAGTGGGAACCTGAAAAGACAGGGTAATGATGGGCACAGTCCAATGGTGATTATTTTATAATGTATGGGAATCATTGTAAGAAACACCATATGAATTAAGAATAGTGTGAAATACAATGTATATGAACTTTGTAAGCAAACCAATATAAAATAAAATTATTAAAAGAATAGATTAATTGCATTTGGGAAATCTACTGTCAGGGACCTCTCCAAAGTGCTGAAGAGCAATGATGTCAACCTGGAGACCAAGGTGCACCTGATTCAGCTCACAGCCTTCACAATTCCTTGTAAATTATTTGCAAGGGATAGCTGGACAATGACTAGGGATGACAGAAGAAGAATTAAGACCTTTGAATTGTGATGCTGGAGAAGAGTATTAAACATACCAAAGACCACCAAGAGAACAAATAGGTCTGTCCTGGGAAGGGTGATTCAAATTTTCTCCTTAGAAGCAAGGATTTTGAAGTTCTATCTCATAGTTTGGGTGCATGACCAAGAGGAACTAGTCCTTGGAGAAAGACAACTTGCATGGAAAGGTGGAAGGACAGCGCAGGAGTGAAAGATCCTGGATGAGATGGATTGACATAGGAATTACTTTAATTAATCAGTAATTACTGAAGTAAAGGGGTTGGTTTTTCTGAGACAGTGATATTGACACAGAATAGGGTAGGATTCAGACCTACTGTACTGTGTGTTGCAGGTGACTCGAAGGCACACAATAACATCAAAAGCAACAATAGTATATATGTTTGGCCATATGTGCCTTGCCCAATTTTTAATCTGATGCTTGCCATTTATTGTAAAGTATATTTTTCTTTACCTTCATCATTTCTCTGAATTTTATCCTATTTGCCCCTGTTACTTTTCCAGTTTACCCAGATCCTGGTGGGGTTTATTCCTACCCAATCTCCTACAGTTTTAGAGATAAAGATTCATAGTGTCATAGAATTAGACTCATAATGATCCAAATATACAATTAGAACATTGTATGATACAGCAATCTCAGTAATTATTAACTGATTGCATGGAATGAATGAACACAGAGAATTCAACAAAAAAAATCCTTTAGAAAACTTACACACTATATAATCTATATATGATACACACCAAAAAAATGGACTGTGCATCACCCTCTGAAGTCCCTCATCATGGCAGACATCATTAGTTGACCACAGCACTCTTTTAAACTCATCCTAGATAGGACTGGACAATTCTCAGAACAGTGCTCTAGGGAGCAACTGCCAATCAACTCTAGTAGACATGAAAGGTGAGACTATCTGTCAACCCTGTTAATACTCCAAGGAATTTGCTGTGGAGGTTTGGCAATTGTGACTCCTAAGTGTTGTAAATGCAGTATAGATTATTCCTACCTTAAATGAGATTTCAACAAATGCATTGTAAATTGGTTCTGTCATTAAATCCAATAAGCTCCGTTTTCTTCCCCTGCCCAATCCTCATCATTATTGCACAATATCAGCTGTGAAAACTAGGCCAGGAGCTGATTGTGGAACAGACCACCAACTACTCATATGCAAGTTGAAGCTGAAGTTGAGGAAAAT